CCCCAAAACCCCAAAACCCCAAAACCCCAAAACCCCAAAGTGATGTGAAGTTGTTGAAATCTGAGAAATATAATTTATACGTCAAGCCTAACTGCCATATAGTTAGGAGTGAACTCTGTGCTTGAATAGTTCAGCACTAACGGGAAATTTGGGATCTTCTTCACTGGAATTGATTTAAATTCCAACCTCTTAGCAAAAAATCCAATTATCGGACCGAAAAGAGGGCTTAACATTCCTAGTCCGAGCTTCTCTCTGACCAAGAATACATTAGAAGTTGAGATATTAAGCGAATTTTTGTCTACGATTGGATTAAAGTATAGCATGTTGTCACCATCCCCATTTGTGAAGTTAAATGAAAGATCGCCTGAAATATCAACATCAAACGAAGTCCCAGTCTGTATAACTGTGCAGTTACCCTTCGCAACAACATGGAGTCCCTTCTCAGTATTTACAATGCTGAAAGAACTTGAATTACCAGGTATCGCAATCTGGATGTCGTACCCATCTGCAGCTATATTGTACTCAAATTCAAACTGATTCAGGGAATCAGCAAAAGTACTAAACACGTAATCGCCGACAGCCAAAGAGACATCGCTCTCTGAGGCCTTCTGATTCAGCATGATCTCTGAAGGTTTATGAGTGAAATTAAGGTGAGATCCTGGGAGATATATAGTTCCGTTAATCGGCAAAATAAGCGAATTAGCGCTAGCCTTAATTGGACTAACCAAGGCAAAGTTCATATTCAGCCAAGGCGTCAGGGGTGCTTCTATCTCAAAGGATTTCCTGATCTCCTCATTCATAATCCTTGGCATATCTTTATTCAGAGAATCTATAATACAATTCTGTTTCACCTTCTTCAAAATTGGTCCTCGGAGTGCCTTGATAATTGTGTTGCCGACTTTCTGTATAACGTTGTTCCCAGTGGTGGCGTGCCACTTGTGCTTGTCCAAGCTTACATCTACCGATTTCGTAAAGACTGCAGGGATGAGGTAACCATCTCTCTCTTGAGTTGTAAAGCCCAAAACGATTGAAATCTCATCTCAAACTCCTTTTATATCTGCATGGCCTCTAATTTTAATAAGCTTGCCTAACTTGACTTTCCAGTTAAGTTTACCTGTTATCAGCATATTTCTAACTTGTACACGCAGGCCATCATTCTGGGCATCAATAGACAATATGAGATCCTCTGGTAAAGGAATATAAAAAGTCATATCGATGTTCCAAAGTTTGTAATGCCTATCATTGACTTCATCAATCTTCATGTTGTTAAGCTCCCTCACAATGTTCGAAAAATAGATATCCTTGATTCTATTTAGAAAGTCGAGACCGACTGTCCCAACAATTCCAGGGGGCTGAGGCTCTGTTCAAAGACACAAGCCGACCAAAAGAAAGGTCATTGCGACAATTCTCATTTAAAATTTAATTTAGTCACTTTCAAGAGTTTAAACCTTTGAAGGGGTTTTGGGGTTTTGGGGTTTTGGGGTTTTGGGGTTTTGGGG